ACACCTTCGTTCCTGCAGACCTGATGAAGCTGATGGGTTTCCCATGGTGCTCATCAACGTGCATCCGAGCACTTCACAAGTGGTGGATTTATCTTCACAACACATGTTTGAGGAGAGAAGGAGTTATTATCTGTTCTCCAGATTTGGGGATGGAAGGAAGTGGAAGAAATGAAGCCCTAGATTTGCAGTTCAGGTTGAGAAAAACCCTGTATTTTTAAAGAATTTGGTATTATGCAGCATTAATCCAGGCACAAGATCCCCTGGCTTCAGATACCACTGAGAACACTGAACATTTCTGCAAAGCAGAACTCAGGGTGTGAAATTAGGCACCCCCGAAAGGAAGGATCACGTGATTAGTGGCTGTCCCCATGTGACAAGACTGGGTTGAGTTTCCCAATGCCTTACAGAATCTCTATGAAAGAAGTAGGGATAAACATGACATTTTTTAAGGTGTAGTTTACAGGTTTTTTCCATAAGAATGTCTTCTGGTCTCTTATCCCAAACACCTCCCAAATGCAAAAAAAGAAGACAGGTTCCCTCTAGTCCCTTCATCAACCACATGGATTCTTCCCCAGGCTACAACCAGTCCTGAGTGAATCAGGAGTCTCAGTGACCAAAAAGGAGTATGAGAGCATGTGGTTTACGGCAATGTGTGCATTAGCAGTAGGAGTGACTCTGGAGGGAAAAACAAGCTGTGCTTGTGACAATAATTTGGGGGGTTGCTTCAGGGTAGGTTTAGTCTGGCCCTGTGGCCTGAGTTCCCATTAGTGTAGCAGCAGATTAGGTGGGGGTCCAAGGAAACCACGTTGCATGAGCCAAGGTAAAATCTCATCACCCTAAGGCGGGACTATTGGGAAATCACTTCAAAAACGCACTGCTAATCGGAACATAAATGCAGGTCTAGATGCATCCTAAGACAACTCATAATTCAAATGCATAGGAAAAAAATAAAGGTTTTGCAGATGGTGTTAATTACAGCATTTCTCATTTCGTCAGCCTTGAAGCATTGAGTTCGGTAATCTTAAAAATGTCCCTTCAATATTGCGTGTATGTCTGTGTGCACACGCGTACTGACACAGGACCAATGCAGCTGAAAAGTTAACTAAGGCAGACAAATCAAGGTGGTAACACTGAAATTAATACTTAGGAGGTCTTGATTCAAGTCTTATTGCGTTACTCATTAGGAGTCTTTCCACCGATGGCAATGGACTTTTGCTTGGATCATGGGTAAGATGTAGTTACCAGAGTCACATCAGCACAGCAGCTATTATTCACTCAAATTCCCAGAAGGCATTTTGCCTGCAAAAGGACCACAAGATTTGACCCCACTAATGACTTCCATGGTGTTTTCTACACAATATAGATTATCGAAGTAGAGCCATGACTCGGAGTGCTTTTCTGCTCCAACCTGCCTATCATCAGCTCTTCCCTGCAATTTCAGAAATGAAGAAAGGCAGAGTCGCTGTTCACAAGACGTTTGCCCGAGAACAACAGCTCTTGGCCTTTCCTGTAAAGCAGCTTTTTCCCATGCGTTAAAGGGAAGGAAAGAAACAAAAAAAACAAGCAAACAAACAAAACAAAGCAAACAAAACAAAAAAACATAACAAAAAACCAAACACACAAACAAAACCCTTCAAGACATTAAAATTCTGGAATATTTGCTGTGGGAGAAGAAAAGAAAAAAAAAAAACAAAACATAACTGAGGAACTGGTAGACCACTCATGTTAATTTAGAATCTCGGGCACTAATCAGGGGGTATGTGATATGAGAGATCCTATTCATCCTGCTCCTGGCGTCAGAATATAAGATAATTGATGTAAGAACTCTCTAGACAAACTGTATATGTTTCCTAGAGTATATGCAGACAGAGTGTCTGCACTTGTGTCCTTTCCAGGATGCTCATTCTCTGAGCTGGCCCCAGTCCTGCTTCATCTCACTCAATGCCCCTAAGACCTATGAAACAACATCAGAAGGAAACTACAAGAAGATGTTTCCAGTTTTTAGAAAAAAAAAAGTTAGAGTGAGAAACTCAGGAGCCAGTTCCCTCTAAAGCAAATGGAAAGATTCAAACACAATAACACACGAGTGCAAAATTCTGCTGTGCAAATCCTCCTCTGATTTTCACCATTATTGAGGTCCTGGAATCAATGTCTTAGTCCAACTGCAATCTGTTGATGAGCAAAAGGAGGGAAAGGTTGTAGCATCACAAATTAAAAAATAATAATCTCTCAAGCTTAATATCAGCAAAGATGATTATTTCCTTTGATTTGTCAGACTAATTGGAAATAGCTTTATAGTTCGCAGATGATTAATTAGGAGCCAACAAGATCTCCATTTGCATCTCAGTAATTCTTCACTCTTTTATTTCGACATTTAGTCTTTATGCTTAAAATATTCATTGAGAAAGCAGAAAGGTGATTAACATAAGATTTTAAATGTGTGCCATTTGTTCTGACTTTTTTTACAGAGTTTTGTCAACAGAGAAAAAAGGAAAGAATATACAACATTACAAAATGGTTACTGCCTGTTCCGCTTACATCTGCTAAATCCTCCTTTACTGTAGACATAGTTTAACTAGGTTCATTTTGAAACAGGGGAGAAAAAGCCCAAATAAAGGTCAATACTCTTCCCCTCCTCCCCAATTCCCAAATCAAATGACTTTTTGACCTCTGTATAATGATCCTGAAAGTTTTGAAGTGGTCTTTCTTAAATGAAACATCCTTACTCATGTGAGCCATCCTGCAGAAGAAGATTAGACCATGGCACTGTTACCATCTCCAGTTATCACCCAAGAGAAAGTGGGTTCAGAATAGCATCTGGCAGATAGGGTGATATTTTTCCATCCACTTGGCACTGAAAGTCAGGAGTACACGTATTTCTGGGTGAAGGAACTCAAGTTATTTCATTCCGCATCAAAAAAAACATAGTAATTCATTTGCAGGTCACGTCTGTTGAGGTTTTTAAGTTTGGGGGTTGTTTTTTTGTTTGGGGTTTTTTAAGCATTTTCTCTCTGCTTTGGCAACCTCTGTCTTATCACACCATGCTTAAACCTCCAGCAAATGGAGTGGGGTGATAAGACGTTTAACCCTTTATTTGGAAAGTAAATGCCCAATCCTTATGGTAGTATAAAGAAGCTGGAAGAGTAAATACTGAAGACTAAAAGGAGGACTGATTCCTAAGGATTAAACCATCAGAAATCAAAAAGAGCCAAACTTTGCTACTAACAATAATAATATTAATACAAATGGCATTATTTCAAAGAAAACTCTTGCAGGAAGGGACTGGCTGATGGCCTTTGAATTTTTGGGAATTGTCCTCTGTCTACCATCAAACCCAGCCTTTTGTAACAGGTTCTGCCCGTTCCTCCAAGCACAGGGACAGGGTCTGGTCCATCTTGATTTCACATCAAGATCTCAACTTTAGACCATCAAATTATACCACTGAGTACCCAACGGGGCAGAGCAGAAAGTGCTTTTCCAGCTCCTGTCCAAAGTCGCAGGGTCTTTCCTAGTACTGCCCAAAAAGTAGCCAGGACCATAAGGACCCGGCCATACCTTTGCACTTATCCCAGTCCCAAATTGTCATCGACACAGGTTTGCCACCGTGGTGGCCATGGTTGACTGAGACCAAAAGGGACCCATCCCACGTGGGAGCCCGACATCAGGCGGGGGCAGCGGCTGGGCTGTGGTTCGAGGGACAGGGAGCACACACCGGACAGTGGGGTTACACTAACATGCAGTCCATTTATTTTTGAGGTTTGGTTTTTTTTTTCCTTTGTTCTGTGGGTTTTTTTTATTAAGCCACCGCAAACGCTGCGTTGGCTGTCAGCATGAGCACAGAGACACACATTCCCGTACCCGTGGTAACTACGTGATTAAATACCACCAAAACAAATTTAAAAAAAAAGAATTAATAAAGAAAGAAACATATTCCCTTTCCCACCCCCAAGCACAAAACACTTTTAAGTCAACAGAATTTAATCTAGTTTATTCTCAAAAAAAAAAAAGAGGAAAAAATATGAAAACAAAACAAAAAAAGCAGGTCTTATCACTAGCAGTAAATAAATTTGTACAACCATTCAGTCTGTATAATAGGATGAAATAAATCTACATCTTTCTTATTTTGGTGCGTTGAATTATACATACAAACAACAATTACAGGAACTTGTTCACAATGCGTATAGACCTGGAGAATGGCTATCTGAAAACCCCTCGTTGGCAATGTCCGCATGTTAACACTGATTGCCTGACACCATTGGTACTTCCTATGTAAAAGGCCCGTGGCCCGAAATGAATGATCTCCCTACAGGTTTTATTTATTTAGTTATTTATTTAATTAGTTAGTTAGTTAATGCATCATCAAAACCGTTCTAGCCAGCCCCCTCCCCCTCCCCGGAAATGAAAAAGAAACCGGAAAAAAAAAAAACAACCAAAAAAACCAAAATAAAAATAAAATAAAAGGAGAAGACATGACTGGCAGTTGGTCCATTTGTTCGTAAGACCGCGTTTCCTCTTGGTCTGCATTGTTTGTTTTTCTGGTTTTTAAATTGTCCTCCCGTCCTCTTTTTTTTTTTTCTTTTCCTTTAAAAAAAAAATCTCTCGGAGTCCTTCATGCCTTTTTCTTTACAGCTCCCCAGATGCAATAAAGTCTTCCTCAAATGTACAGTATTTCTTACAATATAAGTTATATGCAATGTTCAGCGGTTTTTATTTTATTTTATTATTTTTTTCACAGCACTAGAGATCCTGTCCAATAGGGAATGCAAGTTCTGAATGGCTTATTCACAAATGGTATCCAGATTCAGTGGGTAAGAATACATAGACGCCATAGTGAGTTCCTTTAAAAAGTGGCAAACATCACTTTTTTAAAACTTTTTTTTTTACTTTTTTCTTTTTTTTTTCCTTTTTTTTCCTTTTTTGTGCTTTTTGTAGTTTTTTTCTGGGTTTTTTTTTTTCTCTCTTATGCCTTCAAATAACATTTTTAATTTTTTTTTTATTCTTTTTTCCCCCTCCCATTTGATTCGGGACGTCAGACCCATAACCACACGCCTGCAAAAATGCAAGTATATAAAGTAAATCTCATTTTGAGACCGTAAGCATTCAGCAGGGGAGTCTCTCGCTAACCCATGGCAGTGACCATACTGGAAGGATGGTGAGGTCCGAAGGAGAGGCTGGATGGAGGATGCATCGGTGTCGGTGTAGTCAGCATGTGGCTGGAGTGACTGAAAGGTGAAATGTGGCTGATGGAGGACATGTGTCTGGAGAGGGCGGCGGGGTTAAAGGAGCTGCTCTTGGGAAAGTCTTCAAGGTTGTCATGGACCTTTTTGCACTTTTTGGATTTGCTAGACATTTTTCGGTTTCTGGTCTGAATTCCTTCTTTCTTCATAGTCAGGGGTCTGTTAATCTAAACAAAAATCAATTATTTTTTTTGTGCTTCCATCCCCTTCTCCCCAAATCACCGGGGGATTCGTGTACCCCATGCCCGGGCAGTCCCAGGGATGTGCCCAGGACCAGCTGAGCAGCCGGCAGCCCCCCCTCCTCCCCTTGTACACCCCACGTGCCACAGCTACACAACCTCTCCCCCCCATTCCAAAATTCACATCCCACCAGGAAATCCCAAGTTCCGTTGAAATTTCTGAAGACAAGATGACAGAAAATTGCTGGCAGAGCCTCACGGGAGCAAAACATACCCAAATAACTCACAGCAGCTGAAAAATTTCAGCTATCTGCACATTAGGTAATTGCACCGTGTTTAGGAACGAAACCAATCATTATCACCTTGAAACATTCCCTGCAGACACCATCTCACCCCGAGGCTTCCTGACTGATCTAAAATCATTAGCTGCTGGGATTTCAGTGCTACGAGGGATCTCAAACTTTCACAGCGGCATTAGGGAGCTGAGCAAACTCTTCACAAATGTAGCAGGTATTTGTCTTATTTTTCTTCTTTCAAAAGACTTTGCTCTGACCATCCTTTCAGGTTTACTTTAGCAGATCCAATTTTATTTCTAAAGCCTTCCAGGTTTTTTTGGGGTGCTGAAACAGGTATCTGTGCTGCCCCGCAGAGCATTTTCTACTTGCACACAGACATATCTATAGGAAACCTAAGCATTATGTTCTTCTGCATGGATATAAGCAGCTCCAATGACCAACCATACACCCATCAGGGTTGAGAAATGGTAGGAAAAGATCTGTCAGACCTCCTGTAAGAAACTCCTATCGCTGCACAGAGAGCCAGCGTCACAACATGCATTAGCACAGGTGCCGTGAAAGCCCCAAAGACCGTGCTTGGGAAGGGGTTTATGCATCCAATATCCATAAACATCCTTAAAAATCTGGACTTGGGAGGCTACATGGGGACTTATATAGGTCTTGCACTGGCTCCTCTGCAGAATTTCACCCGTAACAGAAGGCAGGAGAGCCCAGAAACCCCCCAGGGCTGAACACCGCTTTTCATAATAAATGTGAGCACATGGCAGTGCTGATGGATATTCTGCAAACTTAAGAAAAAGGGAAAAAAATGGATCCACTATTCACCAAGAACTACTGTCTCAACCCCAGCTAAGGACAATGAAAAGAGGTTCCTGCAAGGGTCCTAAGCAGATCTTCATCCATAAGATCTTAAATCAGTGCAAAGGACAAAGCACTCCCTTCTTCCAGATCACAGCAGTTTCTCTTCGTGCTCATCAGACACTGCTTGGTGCCTTTCCCCACAGTATGGGGATCATTCACAGATTTCTCTCCCTGGAGAGGCAGGGATACACGCGGGGATGGAGGCACGGGGAGAGGAAGGACCAGGCTCATCTGCTCCAGTTTAGGCATCCCAAAGTTCATCATCCCAATCTGAATTAGTGACCCCACGCTCTCCATACCAGCAGTGATGGGAAACTTCACCTCATCCTAAAAATGGGCAAATAAAAGGCTGATTCCTCTACCTCTGGATAAAGGGAGCCGGAGGGAGCAGCCCTGCTTGCTAAAGGTAGGAGGGAGAAAGCTGCCCATGCACAGCCCACAGCAGCCCTGGGGCAGCAACAAGCAAAAACCTCAAATGTCATGGGCTTTAAATACAACATCACCCATCTCCCTGGCTTCCTGTCCTCGCCGAGGGAGCAGGGATACACACAAAAGGCAGGCTCTTCGCTCCAGCTGGATGGCTGGGATAGGAAACCTTCTCCTGACTTGTTTTAAGTCAGCCAGCAGGGAGGGACATGTTGCCCAGGTTCAAAGCCAGGAGAAAGCCCCAGGTGAGCCCCACCAGGCAGCAATGCTAGAGGAGACCTGGAAGCCTCGATCCCTGATGAATCCAGCCCACTTTTGGAGAGGCACACATAAGCCCCAGGCTCCCCAGCTCCTAATGAGGATTTGCATTGTGACACAAAAGCTCAGGGGCAGCCAGAATTGATTTCTGGGTGAAGCAGCAAAGGTGCAAGTTCAGAAGCTGGCGGTGGCAAAGTGACATCAGCCTGCTGCTGGGACTGGGGCTGTGCTGGCTCTTAGAGCAAGCACGGGGTCCTGACCCTGTGTAGCTTGGTGTCGTGTCCTGCAGGACAATGACCACTTCCCCAAAGCAATGTCTCATGTTTCACTCAATCGCTAGGAACAGATTAGCCCAGGCCATGATTTGATGTGAAACTTACGGATGGGAATACCAGTTTTGCTTAGGATAGTGACAAAGCCATGGCCAGCCCTGCAACTGGGGTCAGAGATGCCATCCAAGCTCTTAGCTGGACACATCATCCTGGTGTACGTGGTCTCACCATCCTAGCAGGTACCTGACCCAAGTGCCAAACAGATAAGGACTCGGATAAATGTCAGGAAGAGTGAGACCAGCACAGTCACAACAGCAAGCTGGAAATTTTTTCCAGTGATTTCAAAGGCCAGTCACAGCAGAGTTGAAGCAATCCCCAAAACATCAAAGCCATGGACCTGTCTCTGTTTCTGGGGTAGAGAAACAAGAAACCCAGAGGGAAGACCTTGTCCATGAAAATTCATTGTGATAAAAATGACAAACACATGTTAAATTAAAATTAAACCAGCGCAACACATGTATATGAAATTCATTAATTTCAGATGGAGCCAATTAATTATGGGCAGGAATTATGCTCTTTGTTTTAGCATATGCAAAATACCAACTGCTCTGCTCTGGGGACGCATAGCCCTGCCTTAGGATATTGTGAAATAGAGGCCTTTTCTGAGGACTTTTACCAAAAACAATGGCAACTCACTCATTTCTATGGGCACAGGCCAGTCTGCTGTGCACCTCCAGCAAGGTACACTCCCACCCATCCCTGAAGTGAGTGAAGGCTCATCCCGCTTCTAAGAAGGACTAAAATAACAAGGACAAGAACTTCACATTCAACAGATCAAATCCAGGGGATAGTCTTCAACATTATGGGTTTGATCTTGCTCTGACTGAAGACAATGGGATTTTGCCATTGACCTCAATAAGGTCCTGTCACTGAAGCGGATTTATCCTTCAGACATAGTCATTACAATGTTGGGTTAATCTTCCAGGCTGGATGTATCTTAGAAAGCACTCTGGGATGCCACAGGATGAAAGGCACCGTATCAATGTGAAATATTAGTCATTGTTAATACTGGTGTTAATGGAGCCGGCTCTTGTTGAAGTCAGTGGGAGAAATGCCAGCAGCTTCACTAAATGCACCCCAAGACTATTCTGATTATTGCTTATAACCTACTGACAAATGGGTTTGCTTAAGCTGTGGGAATCAACAGTAAAACAAACTGATATAGCCCAATGAAAAAAAAATAGCCTTTTCACTGCAATCATTCCTGGTGTGGACTTAAAAACTGGGTTTCATCTTCAGATCAATCCATTAAAATACCCTAATAATTTGAAGGCCCAAGAAAAATTAATTAAACCCAAAGAAAAGACATAATAGGAGGGGGATAAAAAAGCAGCCAGGAATTTCCTACAGTCTAGCCTGAGACAGGGTGAAGGCATCTTCCGAGGGGCCAAAGGCCTTCCACTGGCATTGACACAACATCTGTGCAGACACACTCAGCTGCATGGGAGGGACATGCTGCGATGAGCCTCTCTCTTTCTGACACCTCTCCTGATGGAGAACCGATGCAGATAAGACACACAAAGGGAGCAGGACCGTAGCCTACACAAACAGGTCTTGCACTTTAACAGACCAGACCAATTTGCACCAGCCAAGAAACCTTGTCCACGTGCAATCACCAAATTTCCTCCCTGCCTTGGGTTGGTTAAAGGATGATGCTGGTGCCATTCACCAGGCAGTTAGCACAGCTCCCTAGGTCCTGCCTCCCAGCAGCCAAAAAGAGAAGGCATCTCCATGAAGCTACCACCGCCTTACCACTGGTCACAAAAAACTCACTCGTATTTGGCTTCTGAAGCACAATGTGGCCGTCACAGTCACAGCCTCTAAAGCCAGTTGGGCTGCAGAATAATGTTCCAATGCTCTGCCATCGTGGACCTTTAAAGCTGAGGGTGATATGTTCAAGGGCTATCGGCTGCGATGTTGCCTGTTCCTCACCACAGTCATTACTAAGCACATCTTAAAAAAGTAAAAAAAAAAAAAAAGGATCTACCCATTCATAGCCAGATTTTAGGATCCCTGCCTAGTTATATTGCTGCACACAGTATCTCAGTCCTCTAGGGATTCCATTTAAGCAGGTTCCCTTATGGACTTACTCATAAGGCAAGATATTACTTGACTTTGGTAAGTAGCTGTGCTGAACTTTTAAGCAGCTGTCGGTGTTTTTAATGACTATGAAAATGGTTCCAATGTGCACAAGGCCTGCCCCATGTCACAAATTTCACAGCTGGATGGGAGTTTGCCTAAACAGTGGATCTAGGGGTCAATTCAGGCCAATGAGGTTCACAGCATCAGTGTGAAAAAGAAAAGGATGTGCTCTTGTAGGTACATTTCTGGAGAACCTCAGCACTCAGACACCATTCTAGACACCTTAGGGGGGTTCCTCCAGTCAGATGTCTACAATGCAGGTAGACACATCGAACTCATCATCCTGCCGCCTTTTGTAGTCATGGGGAGAAACTACGTTGTCTTCAAGGGTACAAGTCATCTCATCCAAACACAGGCACCTCCATCAGGTCCAATGAATGGCACCTGAGAAGACCCTATTTTCTTCAAAGGGCTTTGCTGGGGTACAGGGGGAGCAGCTCAGGTATAGGTCTCCCTATAGCTCTCCCAAGCTACGTGATTTAAGTCCTACCACCAGTGGCTACAAGGCCAAAATGAAAACACAGCACAAGCATAGACCTCTCCAGTGAAACTGGCTGACCTTGCTCCCTTCTTGCCATGGAAATAGCAAACAGAATATTTTCTTGTGATATTCTGAGAGCTTTCACTCCAGGTCCAACCCCTTTGTTTGCAGTGATCACACTGAGAGTTTGATGACAAGCTTTGCTTGCTACATAGGACTCAAAACGTGCTGAGACGCCTGCCCACTAAAGGGTAAACACGTTTTCCTTTTTTCCAGGAGAGATGCCTCTCACAAAACAGGTGAAAAATTAGCCTGGTTGGGTTTTTTTTTCCTACTTAATCCAAACTTGTTTACTCATCCCAAGAAACCAAAGAGCTTGAAATAACAAATGGAAGGGACTGAGACACCACAAGGGTTGGGTGCCCCATGAAACCCTATACGTCTTTGATGTGTTTGCGTGGGTGGACATGAGGGCAAAATGTAGCCTGAGATTTCTAAGTCAAACATAAAGCAAACGACCACTAGGGAAAAAAAAAGTGATATCAAAGCAGAGAAATTGAAAGTATTTTCCTTCTTCTGACATAATAATTATTCTAATGCCACATGTGGAATGAGAGTAACAGGAGCAGCCTTAAGGCTCCTTTATTAGCAATATTATTCCGTAGAAGACTTTTTGGATCCCTTTAGCT